CTGCAGTATCAGGAGAGCCGACGTGTGGTGGGGGAGGGCCTTGGGAAGTACTCTTAGAGAGAGCGATTCTGAAACAAACCCTTTTCGATTGATTGAGAAGGAATGATTCCCTTTTGGCTTTTATATTTGTATCGATCGTTCGGTCTTGGAAAAAAAACTTAAAGGCAATTAAGACCCTATTAAGGAAATTAAGGACTATAGACAGATGGATATCGTTCAGTGTGAAGATTCGCGATAATTGGGATTGATATATCGCGATACCCATAGACTGGGTTGATCAAGGAACATCGAAGAGTATAATTTATAAATTAAAGACATCGTATAGAATTACTCAAAAAGTGAGTAGAAAAATAAAAAACAAGCACATTCGTGCAATCAGGGTACAAAAAAAAAATAAAGGAACGTACAATATATACACACGAGGATATTATAAGTCTATAGTTCGAAGGTCGCTGCCAAAAGTCATCGTGAAAGACAATCGACCTTTTCGCATTATTAAGATTTAAGAGTGTTCGTATATGCATATGTCTATCTATGGGAATCCAACCCCAGTTTCCCATAACGACCGGCCACGTTGTGGTGCTGTTTCGTGCTGGTTCTGTCAAATCCAATCCTTCCCATCTACCTCGCCGCGGACGCATTTCCCCACCGGAAAGCGCGGGATCCCGTCGGCGGTGAGCTCCTGATACTGCACCGTGAGCGCCTTCCCGACGTAGTTCGCCTGCCAAGTTTTCCACATCTTCTTCTTTTCGGCATCGCTGCTGGCGGGGGTCACCGTAAAAGTGTTTTTCGCATCCTTCGTCTGGCAGACAAAGGCCCCGAGGGCGCCCTTCCACTTCCCCTTTCCCTCCACCGCGTCGACGATGACGAACTCGTCGTCGCGCATGATTTTGTACTTCAGAAGCGTCCCGCTGCGCTGGCCGTGGGCGTAGCCCCCGCCGGGCCGCGACGCCGCGGGGCCCGTCAAAAGATCCTCCAACCTCCGCGCCGCCGCCTCCAATCGCGCGAGGACGACCTCGAAGGTCAGCGCGGGGTGGATGTCCAGGGCGGGATTCCCGCGTCGAGTTGGCGCGTCG